TCCACAACATTCACTGTGAATATGCACTTCTTTGTGTCACCACTCTAACAAAGCCTGCTGTCCAAACTACAACTCAACTCTGTCCCCCTCTCTCAGAATGAGCACAGGAAACGCCTACAATGTAATATCATCATTGCTTGCTGGAAGCAGAGCATGATGGATTATGTATTCTTGACAAAATGAGATCCAGCAAGTTGTTGAAAGTGATGGGCAGACAGAAGGCAGAACTCACTACATAAAAGTTTTTTTTAAAGAAGCTTTAATTGCATTATCAAAAGCAACTCTAGTATGTATTCCTATTACAATGGTAATGATATAACAGGATAGTATATACTGGGACTTTACAATTCCTTTTACACTAAAAATAAACACTCAGAAACTGTCAAATAACAAAGTCGTTAGATAATAGACAGAAATGGAGTGGCTTAACTCTCACACCTCCACTCCCACTAATGGAACCTCGGTGCCAGATGAGGCTTCTGCCTAAGCCTTAAATCTAAGAGTCCATAGTAAACTGGCACTCGAAATGAGATCAGTCCAATAATATCAGTTTATTCCAAAAAATGTTTCCCAAAAAGGCATAAAAACAGTCAATAAAGTTCTGACGTGTTTTAGTCCCACAACACACAGTTGGTGTCTCAATTGATATTATTAGACTGATCCTGTTTCATGTGCTGGTTTACTATGAACAAAGGTGTTACATGAAAAAAATAAAATAAAGAAAAGGATTTGGTAAATGATCAGTACACTCAAAATGTATATTTTAGTTATAGGTGAAGCCTTGTCACATACCTGGGGGGAGACCGGTGGAAGAGGAGACCTCTCTTGTGTCTTGCATCCTGCACCCCCTGGAGGTGGAGACAGAGTGTGGGAGGACCTCTAGAAGCATGAGTGCCAATAGGGAGACCGGGCACTGTGCTGGAGATGTCCAGAAGTAGAGTAGTCAACGTAACCGAGGTCAAAAATGGGCGGACAGCTTGGTGGCAGAATCGTGAGGCAGGAGAGTAGTCGAGTAAACCGAGGTCAAAACCAGCCGGACAGCGAGGTACAAAAGCGACAGGCAAGAGGATGTCCAGCAAACAGGCCGAGGTCAAAGGAGAGGCAACAGACAGAGAGTAAGTCAAACAATCCAGATCCAGGTCAAAGAACAGTGTAACAGACAATAAGAACCACACCACTGTAATGGCTCTTTGCCATAAATACTGACACTGTTCCTGCGCATTTGATAGGGTAGGGTGTTCCTGCCAATGTTCCTGCACTTCTGTTATGTTCTCCACTGTAAAATAAATTTAATAAATTAAAAGAGAGATGAACATTCCTCTCAATGTCCACAGCAGGTATGCAGACATCTCACCAATAGAATCATCGAGAGATATACAACAATTATTAAAAGGATTAGCTTTCCAGGAACTAGCAACAACTAAAATATCTTCTCCACCAGCAGCCCAGGCAGTCTTATCAAATCAGAGCTCAGACAGGAATCAGGTCAGCCTCCACATTGCTTTTAAAATTGATTTTTGAATTAATTCTTTAAACTCTTTAAAGTAAAAAAAAATAACTATGCCTTTTCCAGTAGAATTCAGACTTTTCTTGGTGTCACTCACCCTGTTTGCCCTGTCTAGTTGTGGGCGGGTAGCCTGAGCAGAGAAGATTATAGATAATCGTCGGTCTGTCATTCTCCTGGTTACTTGTCTGTAATCTTTTACAGGAAGAGATGAGCAAATTGATGTGAAAAGTTTAAAAGTCAACCGGGATTGAACTGATTTGTAGCTGGCAGGGATTTATGGATATTTTTACTGTTTGCTAAGATTTAACTCACATTTTCAAATGAAAGGAAAAATTATTCGCACAAGGTACCAGCCCAACACACCATACATGTGAGTTGGTACCACCATGTTTGGAGGGATGGTAGGCATGCGGATCCAACCTCATCCGTTGCTGGGGTTTGGAGGAAATGAGGCATTAATACATAGTGTGTTTCCATTATACCTTCTACCCATTACAGTAAACCTCTGGCCAGGCTGTGTACATTCAGGTATTTATATGAATTTAAATAAGTTGTTATGCAAACCCTTGCCGATCTCTGTAGCTACTGAACCCCTTACTGCAACTGCTGTATGTTTATATTAAAAGGCTGACAGGCTACCGAGTCCCTGCTACCTGAAGAAGATGAGCTACAATTTCAATGCCTCTGTTGTCAACTCAGAGAATAAATTGCTCCACAGTTCCTGCAACTACAGAGGTCATTGTGGGCTTGTTAAGATAATGTATATATTTGAATGTCCATATACCAGTCATTAGGAACGACACTTTACAACTATTACAGTGCATCTGCTAAGATGCCAGTAAATAATTCTCTATTAAGAATCATTAAACATGGAATCATAGGGGATATCTAATGTCTGGTTCTCTGCTTTGATTGGTTAAATATAAGTTGGATAAATCAAAATGACTTTTGAGCATGTACTACGGCCAGGAGTTTGGTTGTGGCAAACAGGTTTAGTCCCGAAGCTACAGAGAACAATAACAAACAGTGCAAAGAGCATCATGCATAATGTGCCTTCCACCAGTTTAGGGTAGTCAAAGCAGTTGCTGCTTTCTCTGTATGTTATTAAGGGTCTAATGTTGTGCACTTACAGAATTATTTCCCATTAAATGGAAACATGGCACAAGCTGCTCTGCGGTTGTACTCTGAAATAAAATTTTCCAGAACTGATTCACTGAATTATTAACCAGTGGCATTTGATTGTGTAAGATCAACCATCAATTCCATGTGTATAAATTCTTAATGAAATAATTACATAAATATTCACATCATTCCATTACAGTGCCAGATGGGTAGCTAATAATAACGGTAGACAGCACTCCCCTACTCTCTCCATAGACATAATCATGCCTGATCTGGCAATCCCAACACATATGCTCATGCACATGACTGTAAAATAAAAAAAAATTATCTTTGGGTGGTCAGAACATGGCTGCACATATCACAGCCCTTAATGTGTGTGACCACTTTAAAGGTGAGCTCTTGGCAGATATAACAAGCACAAATGACTGCACCTATGTAACTGGAGTGTAATAAGCAGCAGAAGAGGCCAATCAGTTCATGGGCTGATAAGGAGCATGTTAATAGGGGGAGAAAGCAGAGTGACAGAGAAATAATCTCATCACTGCGCTGCTTCTCCTTTCACTGTCCAGTCACAGGCTGCAGTATGTCCAGGGCAGCCTGTGCTCAAAGTTAATAGGCTGAATAATGCTAGAAATCAGACTGAAGGCATTTTTTACTGAAAAAGAAGTACTGCAAGGAATAGTTCTGGATGAAAGTGAATATTGCAACATCATCTGCTTTTTATTTTAACTTTGAATGGGTTATTCATTTTCATCTTGTCATTTTTTACTGGAGGTCTGCTTTAAAGTACATATTTAATAGTTACATAGTTGGTCAGGTTGAAAAAAAACACAAGTCCTTCGAGTTCAATCTATAGAGATGAGAAAAATCATGCATTTTCCAATGAAATCATGAATAAATTGTGTCTTCTTTTAGAAATTTTAGTTCCATTGCTGTCAGGCTGATGATTTGGCATCAGTTATTTCTGAGTCTCTAGCCTGGAACATGTATAGAGATAAGCAATTATGATAGTTTATTTCACCCTCATTTACAGCATGTATGTTTCGGGCTTGTGTCTTAATGGCATTGAAGCCAAATGCATCCAGACAACTAGGATCTTAGTGAAAGAGGCCAACAATGGCAACCACTGTACTTTTCCTCATAGCAGTTGTATATCTTTTTGTATAGCGATATTTGTCTCATGTTAAGATGTATTGAATTACATATCTATGACCTGTATGCATTTAACGACAGTGTTTTACCCCCAGTGGCCAATTTGGAACTCTGATATAACACCAGGTGGACCTAATTTTTACATAAAAACAGATTGATCAGTTGGTAGCATGGATTTACCAAAGTAATTGGTTTTAAGGGGCCTTATTTGTGCCAAGAATATATTTGACACCTCACTGTGCCTGAACCGTTGATATGACACAGGGTGTATCCATGGAATCAGCATCTGTATGCCAAATTCTGACCCTGACATCTGTATCTCACAGCATAAATCAAGATTCTTAAGACAGAGCAACATTTTTCCAGTTATGTGTTGTCATTTTATTAATCTACTTGGTTATCTCATGCCCTTTGCAGGATTACCTTCCTGTTTGTAGCTTACAAGAGCGGAGCCATGCTGTTTCATGTTGTAGCCCATCCAAGGTTTTGATTTTGTTTGTAGGAATGACCTTCTGCACATTATTGTTGTAAAGAGTGGTTATTTGAGCAGTTGTGGACTTCCTATAAGCTTGAACAAGGCTTCCTTTTCCCTTCTTAACTTGCTCATTAACAAGGTGTATTTGTCTACAGAATACCTGTTTACTGGGTCACGTTTTTTGGCACTATGCCCTACACTCTATTACCTAGAGGTCAGCATACTCTGAGGTGCTGCAACCATTATACCTAGCACCAGCAATCATTCCACCACGGTCACTTAGTTCACACATCTTCCTCATTCTATTGTTTAGACAAAAAACATTTAAACTCCTTGACCTTGCCTGAGTGCTTTATTAACTGGGGTTGATTTACTTAGAAAAATTAGAATTTGCATCGCAAAGTGAATGTTGGTAAGTGAGGTAAAGCTCTGTTCACTGTTAATACCCAACCATGTATGCGGAAAATTAAAAAAAATGCACTGTGTTGTCAGCCCACAACAGACAAATGTCAAGGCTGACTACCATTTCTATCAGGATCAACAAGCATTTTTCTGTACTTGCAGAGTCTTTAAAGGGATAAAACATATGGAAATGTGCCTGTATTGCAGAGATGTACTGCATGTTTTTTGTTTGCCCTGATATACACTTTAACATTATCTTATAGACACATATAATATTTATGATGAGTTAACTCTCGTAGAAATTCACTAGATAATTGCCTGTTTATCTTCTGTCTTTGGCAGCTGGTGTGATGCTGGTACCAGAAAGCAGAACAGAAGATGGTTTTGAAACACACTTTGGCTTGAACTATCTGGGCCATTTCCTGCTGACAAACCTTCTGCTGGATACTATGAGGAAATCTGGAACCCATGATTTTAATGCTCGTGTTGTTACAGTATCATCAGCCACCCATTTTACTGGAGAGCTGAACTTTGATGATCTACAACCAAGGTAAAATATTTTTAATGAAACATTGTTCATCAACAATACTTATTTCATGACTGTCTCAACTGTCATTAATAATGTACAAACAGAACTGTGTATATTGTACGGTGAAACAGAATGTTAATTCTTTAAAAAACAATTATCTTTCTGGGATAGGTAGCACACTAGTGGACCTTGCATGACAATGTAGGGTGCACCTGTACTAGAGACCCCACCCCCCATAGAAAAAAATATTAAGTGAAAAAGTTTTTAAAAATACTTCCGGTGCACCTGCCTGGATGGGGGAAGGTTCATTACTGGACCTTTTCCTGGGATTCTGAGATTGCTGAGGAACCCAAATCCCCAAACAATACACTCCTACACATTTAAGGTTTGGAACCGAAGAAGGCTCAGTAATGTCAGGAAGTGGCCAGAAAACAATGAGTTAGGTAGGTATGTTTTACCTTTCTTTACAAAGTTTCATTCTTTTTCTTTCTTTAAAAGAGAACTAGGCGGTAACCTTTTTTCCCCGTACTTCTCTTTAGGGTCACAGGAGGACATATACTAATGTCCTACCATAACCCAAAGCTCAGTATATAGTGAGCTATAGCTTGCTATATACTGAGAGCGCCACAGCCGGGATGGATCCTGACAATACTGTTGAGATCCACCCAGCTGGCTGATTGACAGCAGGCTCTGCCTATCTAGAGGCAGAGCCAGCTGTGCCCGCCCAATCCCCATCCGTTCCTCCAGTCGTTGCTGAAGGATCAAAGCGGGAATGGGGGGGGGGGAATCCCTGCGGGGAGCGGTGACTGGCATACACCGATCTCTGCAGGGAGATGATCAGGAAGTGAGTAAAATGTACATATATACTGGTCACATACTGTATACTATAACAGTAGCCAGATCATTTACAGGAGCAGGAAATGGAACGGTTAATGACATGTGGTCGATTATGGACTGATAGCTAGTCTTCATTGAGTTACTATTTCGGCCACAAGTAGGATGATGATAATGCTAGAAGAGTCAAAAAAGATTTGATAGACTTGAAGTGTGACTCTAGCTTTTTTGGTTGAGGTAAACTATTGCAAGGATTTAATCAAACGTTTTGCAAATTCATAACTTTTTCTGTTTAATGAAATTGCTGTTTGTGTTACTGATTTCTGAATTGGTTCCTTCTGCCTGCATTTAACCACCTGGTGTATTCTTAGTGGTGTAATGCAAAAAGCTGCAATGTCAGAATCCTTGAAGGCCCCTTCACACCTTTCCAATGTGGTGTGTTGCAGGCAACACATGTTAACACATGTTACGTCGCATCTTCGACGCACATGTGTTGCAGCACACCACAATGCACATTAATGCACTACCATGCGATAAGGTATGTTACATCTGACAAAAAATTGTGCATCTCCAATTTTTGTACCTTAACTCAACCCATGTTGAGCACATGTATTAATGCAACACACAGGAATGGACATGTGTAAATGTGCCCTTAAATGTTGAGAGTACCTCACAAAAAACTAAAACTGCTTTTGCAGGGAGGATTCCCGAAAAATTCACTTGTATCATGAAAGCAAGGAGATGAAATCACACCAGCAGGAAGATAGTTTTGGTGGATTTCTGTATGCCACTGGTGTATGGAATGTGTTCAGTTTGCCATATCTTAAAAAAAAAAAGAAAATGGCAGTTTTAGAAAATGACTGTGTCTGCAGAAGCAAGTGTAGAGGCAATTTTATCTTTTGTTCATTGAAGGACACAGTTCTGCTTCGATAGACTGGATATATTGCCACCTGCAGAAGCTGAACACTAGGTGGAATAAAAAACAAAAGGCAGCCCGGTGGTCGATACCCCTTCCGCCCTAGGACAACGTTAATGTACGGTCAGGCCATTACAAATGTGTTGGATAAGAAATATGAGACTGTGTCAATTTAAAAAGTAAGAAATATTTCTAGGCTAAAAAAAACATGCATTAGTGAGATGGTGAAAAATGAAAATACTATAAATTGTAGTATGGAATGTTTAAAAATCCTTTACACCCCATCTTTTTAGAGGTAAACAAAAATGATGGCCCTAAAATTATTCTTTTACCTCTGGTAGGCGTAGGAATGTGTGATGAGTAAAAGGCATCTACTTTTTTGTCTTTACTATTTACTACTAACGCAAGGTTGCCGATTAAGCTTCCTGTGTGATAGCAGTGACATATACTCTGTAAGGAGATGTAAGGGATCCATTAGACTGCTAATGTGTCTCCTGCCACTAGTGCAAATGGGTACATGCCAGGAGGATGTTAATTCACAGTGGCATTCCTGGTATCTTAAAGTGGATCAAACTATGCACACAAAAGCTTAAATATTTTGAGCAAGTAGTAAAAACACTTTAAAACAAGCACTAATTGACCTCTATAGCTGTGGGCATTGCAGAGAAATTCATCAACATTCACAACAGACAGCTATTTTTCTATAACTTTCTATAGAATCTTAGCAGCATATCAGCCATATAATGTAAACACACAGCGGGTATTTCTAAGCTGTTAGAAACTGACTGAAACTCAAATTTGGAGTCTTTATGAGGATTATTGAGGATCTTTAAAAATTAATTACTTCACATTACAAGTTAAACTATGATACCAGTGGCATAACAATCACCATAGCGACCCAGGCGACCGCTATGGGGCACGGTGGGGCCCGGCCAGGACATCCCCCTGATGCAGTGCGGGCCGCCTGGGTCGCTATGGCACCTCAGGCTGCTGGCTGTCAAACAAAATTTTGCTATGGGGCCCCGTGATTTCTAGTTACGCCCCTGTATGATACTGCTTGTTGTTACTTGCTTCTAACTACACACCACGACTACCATAAATCCATAAGCAAATGACTGCACTTCTGCTAATTGGGTATGAATTGGACTAGATCTATTAGTTACAAATGGAGACAGTTAAAGCATAAAGTATTTACTGTAAAGTTATATGTGGCACATGTAGTCTTGGCTATGCTAAAAAGTGAGAACTTACTGCATTAAATTCTAGGAGAGTTCTTCTAAGATCTGAAAATAGGACTAACAAAACTGCACCTAGCATGTAAACATCCAAATAAAATGTGTATAACATTTGTATAAAATGTGTAGTTTTTTAAATGTTTTATTATTTTCTAATAATGAAGGCTGATGGAAAAAGCGATAATGTACCTTACTGGGGGACATGCAGTCGCATCAGATTCATTCACGTTTTGTTTAAGTGAAACATCAAAACAAAAAGGTTCATAGGAATATTATAAGGAAATTTAGGCCAGTGCTACCTGTACTGCAGCACATGGCCCATTCAGTAACAGCTCATGGCATAATAAAAGGTAGATTAAGTGCTGCAGAGTTGTTGCTACTATTTTCACCTATCTCAGCTGGTGACCTTGGTAGCAGCGAAAACCATATGTCACTTCACATTAGTCTGCCAGAGATGCGTGTTGTCACCAAGACAACTATTAACAACTGATAATATTGCTAAGGACTGCCAACCACACATTTATTCTACCCCCACCATCCACTATTGTCTGTGCTCACTCTGCCTTTAATTAAAATGAAAAACTGAGTGCACCACTAAGAATTTCTGTGAATGTTTTTCAAAGCTAGTGAAGACTGGCAGGAGTATGCTTCACTTTAACATTTTACATTACATCTTGACATTTTATCTCACCCTAAATTTAATCATCTTAAGAATGCAGAAACCTTCTATATACTGTTTTTTACCATTGCAATGGAGAAAGAAAATAACACAATAATGCATTAAATCTCTAAAAGCACTTTTACCTATATCTAAAAATAGTTTACAAATGGAAGGTCTTGTTTTCGATTACCACTGGGGTAATGTGCCTCTGCAGAAAAGGATTAGGAGACGCTCAGCAATCCACTTCATGTTTCCTTCTGAGAAAATAGGGGGCAGCCAGACTTAGCCTAGATTGTATCAATCATGTTGGCTGTGCTTTTGATGGTAATTTCATGTGGAAGAGCTTTGAGGAACAGAACTATGGTAACATTTGTATATAAAGGTATTAAGTGGTGCTGTCATCTGGGCCGATCAATGATTAGATCAATACTTCTGAACTGTGGCCGTGAGTGTACTGTTTAGATTATTTTCTACTGATTGATCTGTTCTTTTTTCTCATGTGAATCAAGCTGGGGGAAAAAAGCACTAGAACTGTATGTTTGGCTTCTTCAAATTTTGTTTAATTTGTTATTTGGAATATCTATCATGCAGATTTTGTCTCTGCCTACGCTTATTTTCCTTACTTTTCTTTATGGATAATTTGTTAGAAAATACTTACTAGTGGTTTTTATTTTATACTATGTATCATGTTCAAATCTCAATCAGTCAGCTACTGTATTAACTACATTAATAATTGCAATGCCACTGTTTGTGACAGAGCCTTTAGGACACAATTTTCTGTTCAAAGAGCTGGAGATTCTGCGAGTGATTAGAAGTGTTCAAGAAAGACATAGTAGATGGAAATAAATGCTGCACAAGATGAAATTATTTTTTTGCAGTTGTTAGGTATAAATATTAAAAGAAAAGTGTGCAAATCTTTTATTTAGGTCTCATAGCTTCTGAAAAATATAAAGGATTATATATAGAAGACATTTTATCTGTTGCACATCATATCGATCACTTGGATAATGCGTAATTGAGATAATCCGGAAGATATAAACTTTAAGGGTAACCAAACTGAGAAACACTAGTCTGGTTTAATGTTGTGTGGTTTGGATTGGTATACCTTCCAGCTTCAGAGATGAGAAAGAGGAACACCTTTAGTTCATAGTGTGTATGCACAAGGACACACCCAGCTACATGGATCATGACAAATGAATAAATTAAAAAAATGCTTCATGGCCACCACTTTTCCCTTATATTGGCTTTCCAAAAAACTATTACAGTAATTTAGAGGCTGGATGAAACATTTAATATGATATGTTTGGTAGTTAAAATGTATCTGACCCCAAAAACAAATCTATAGTTCAAGTCCATTTCCACCTTTGCAGAGGTA